CCAGAGGTAGAAGGATCTGCTCCGCCATACCTCCGCCGTTCCTTCTGGGGGGACTCCTGTGGCGGCTATGAAAGTCGTCTTTCATTTGAAGAACTTCTCGCGGCAAGGATGAAGGAAGTGGGAGTTTGCTAATAGCCACGATATATATTTATTTATTTTAACTTTGTAACTTTAAAATCAAATATAGTTAGTCGTTAGTAAATACTCGTATTATTGCTATCCGCCAAAATATCTTTTCAACCCGATGTTGTAGACCTTAGATTTTTCAAACTGTGAATTATGTTGGATCACATAATCTAAGTTGAAATATCAAAGGGTTACAGCATCAGGTTGCAAAGATATAAAAATTAGAAAACCAGAGTTTGTGGCAAAGACTCAATTCCTTTTTTAGGCTTCATTTGAGACATACAAAACGTTTCCACGATGTATAATTTCTGAATTTGAGTGGAAAGTCGACGTTCAAAATTATGAATTTGGGTGGGTATGATTTCAGAATCGGTTTTTTTAACTATTAAATAGCGACGACGAAAAATAAAGTAAAAATTATAGAGTAAACTAATTAGATGTTTAGGAACATATTTCTCAAAAGAAATTTGTCAATAAATCAATATTAAAATCAATTATTTCGTTTTCATTATTATATTGAATTTCTTGTCGTCTATGAATTGTACGCAGATTTCTACAAATTCCTTAATTGTCATCTTTTCAATAAAAATTTCAGAAAATCTGCAGAAAATTTTTTTTAATAATGAAAGATTATATAAATTAATAATTGAATAAGATTACTTATTTTCGATGATAAGAGTTAATTTTTAATTTCTCAACCTGTTCCTAAACAACTAACTAGTTTGTTGTAGAAGTATGTTCACATTTTTTGTCGTAGTTATCTAAAAAACGATTCTGAAACGTACCCACCCAAATTCATGATTTTAAACGTCGACTTTGAGCTCAAACTCAGTAAATATACGTCGAAGAAACGTTTTATTTGTCTCAAATGAATCAATAAAAAAATAGTCCACAATACTACGTATTCAGTTCAACCACCATATATTGCCGGTCACTCCCTTTAAGGTTGGTTTAAATTAACACATACATATGCATTTTTTGATGTTAGCGTGGGATGCGAGAGTACCAATAATTTAGAATATATATGGTTGAACATTCACTACACACATATATCTTATATTAGCATACTAGCTGAGGTTCCAACGTTGCCCATGGATTTAAAAGAAACTGAACAAAATTCGAAATTTGGAAAAAAAACTTAATTTGAAAGAATTTTGTTTAGCATATATATATATCACTCCATGGTTCCCATAGTTTGCTCAACGAATTTCAGCCAATTTAGTCCAACTGTTTGGCCAGCTATAACTAACATTTAAATTTATATATATATATAAATGAGCAAAGCGATTTATTGTATAGATAAAGATATCAGGGTGTGAGAGTGACGAAGTATAAAAATTTTTCTCAGTTTCAATTCTGCTAAGTTCAAAACATGCTAAATATATTTGATTGAAAACAAAATACGATTATGTTCAATAACATGCATTTACATTTGAAAACACAGAGGTTAACCCCTGTAAAGTCAATTTAATTGTCCCAAATTAGTCAAAATTAACAATTAATGGTTGCAGGATTAGTATATATATTCTAGATGGTTGAATGATTAGTATATATATTCTAGATGGTTGAAAGATCAGTTTATATATTCTAGATGGTTAAAGGATCAGTATATGTATATATTCTTGATGGTTGAAGGATCAGTATATATATTCTAGATGGTTGAAGGATCAGTATATATATTCTAGATGGTTGAAGGATCAGTATATATATTCTAGATGGTTGAAAGATCAGTATATATATTCTAGATGGTTAAAGGATCAGTATATGTATATATTCTTGATGGTTGAAGGATCAGTACATATATATATTCTAGATGGTATAGGATCAGTATATATATTCTAGATGGTTGAAGGATCAGTATATATATTCTAGATGGTTAAAGGATCAGGATATATATTCTTGATGGTTGAAGGATCAGTATATATATTCTAGATGGTCAAAGAATCAGTATATTTATTCTAGATGGTTGAATGATCAGTATATATATTCTAGATGGTTGAAGGATCAGTATATATATTCTAGATGGTTGAAGGATCAGTATATATATTCTAGATGGTTGAAGGATCAGTATATAAATTCTAGAGGTTGAAGGATCAGTATATATATTCTAGATGGTTGAAGGATCAGTATATATATTCTAGATGGTTGAAGGATCAGTATATGTTCCTATACTACCAGGATGAGCTCTGTATGGGACCTCTAGCTGTAGATGCTATCAAGGTACTTCAAAGAAAATGTAAAAGTGTAATGAACAATATACAAACCATTAAAACTTTAAACTTTAAAAAACGTGATTTTTAATGTCAAATAACTGTGTATTTTAGTAAATATTGGTCTTTATACAGTTTAAACCAGAAAACGGTAGAATAGGAAGACGACATTAAGCAATACTTGAAGTGCATTTAATGTTTTTCAAATCAATTAGCTTTACTAGTAAGGTAAAAAATCAATTATCAAGTGAAATGGGTCTGTTTACACTGCACAATTGCTGTTCCTTGTGTTCGTTGGACTATATTCAGTCATAATTGGCGTCTAAAAGTCTTCTTCATATTCCAGAGTTTTCTAGTTATCACTGTCCATAAATATTAAAGGGAGTGTTTGCGAAAATTAAAGGGGGTATATGCATACGGCGAAAAGAGAAAACAGTTGGGTTTTATAGAGAAAAATCAATATACACTTCTGCATCAAAACTTTTCATATTTTTCAGGTGTTTGGAGGACGTAATTGGAGCTATACGGGCATGATTAAGGGAAAAAACAATAAATTTTTGGGGGGAAAAGTGTTAAAAAACTTTTAAAATTGTTAAACTTTTCGTAAAAAGTTATTAACTTTTTGTAAAAAATTATAAACTTTTTGTAAAAAATTGTAAACTTTTTGTAAAAAATGATAAGCTTTTAGTAAAAAATGATAAGCTTTTTGTAAAAATTATATTTTTTTGTAAAAAATTATAAACTTTTTGTAAAAATTATAAACTTTTTGTAAAAAATTATAATTTGTTTGTAAAAATTATAATTTGTTTGTAAAAATTATAATTTGTTTGTAAAAATTATAATTTTTTTGTAAAAGGATTATAAACTTTTTGTAAATCATGAACTTATTTTTTTTTCATTCCCTCAGGAGAATAAAATGCGTAAGATCTCGCATGTTGGAAGATTAAAAAAGAAATCGTACGGAAATATTCATTCAATTAAAGACAGAGGTAAGCTTTCATAATTTTATCTTAATAATTTGATGTTAAATATCTTAAATTTCATAATTATGTTAATCTGTACATTAACACATAGTTTTCTTCAAACTGTATATTTTGTTGTCATTTAACCCTATCACTTCAAGGGTGGGGATTTGTACTTGAATAAAAAAAGTATATACATAAAATATATAAAATTTGAATAAATGAATTCTAGGTATCCATGAAGTTAATGAAAGTATATCTGGTAGCCCTTTATCCTCTCCTATACTTCATCGCAGATCAGTCGCTGGACCGGTCAATCTTGGTCTGGGCTCTCTTCTTTCGAAGTATGCATAATCTTCTTCTTTTTCTCCTTCTTCTTCTTGTTCTTCTTCTTCTTCTTCTTCTTCTTCTTCTTCTTCTTCTTCTTCTTCTTCTTCTTCTTCTTCTTCTTCTTCTTCTTCTGACATAAAAAAGTATATTCTGATCTGACATAAAATCTGTTTATGTTTAGTGTTGATATAATACCTGAGGAATATCCTGGAGTTCGATCCCTTCGTTCCGGATCCATAACACATGGATCTGAGTTGACTTTCCTGGATTTTATGGAACTTTTCAAATCTTTCAGGTATTTTATGACATTTTTTTGCGAGCTTAAAGGGACTGAATAGGAAAAATGAAAGGGGATATAGGTTGAAACCAAATCATTTTAGGAGTTGATCTAGACCCATAAGAGTTTTTTCTGATGTTCATGTCTTGAGAAATTGATATAAAACAGTGTCAAATTTATACGAAAAAATCGTAGTATTAAACAGATCATATCCATCAAATACGCAACAAATCTGAAAAAACGATATCCCAGAAGAAACTGAAAAACTTAGGTTTGCTCCTATTATTATTTGAATTAAATAACTTTTTATTCCTAATAGATATAATTGATAATTTAAGTCCGTATTACGTGACCAGAACTCCCACCAATGGCAGTGCAGTATCATTGTCACGTGATATAGATATGAATATTAGATAAATAGATATAAATGCTCAGGTTATACCTTTTTTAATCTTTCCTTTCTAGTCCCTTTGAAAAAATAGCATTCTCTGTTTTGAAACCTTTAAATTATTATTTTGTTATTTCAAAAATTCTCCAACGAGACAAGAAAATCGGGAACAGCATAAAGTTCAAATTATATCTAAAAAAAGATCTAAATATTTAGCCTATGAGGTCGAATTTAATGAATATGGTTGAACTTCGTAAGGCGAGTTATTTAGTTCAATCTCGGCCAAATTGGAAAGGCAATACAAACCTTTTCCCATCACACACTAGAGAAATAGTTCGACTATTGATAGCAATTCAATGATTTTAACTTCAGAAATTAAAAAAGATGTCGCCAAAGTTCTGAAAAATATATTTTACGTCAGGCTCCGACTGCGGAAGGACCTGAAAGCGCTGTTTAACGAGCACGCTGTTGTGGCGAGGAAACAGAGATCCAGCTTGTCCAGGGCGGAGCAGGGGTGGAGCAGGGTAGAGCAGGGGTGGAACAGAATGGAGCAAGGGTGGAGCAGGATTGATCATGGCTTGAGTCAATCTGAAATTAACATTTTAAACTCACAACAAGGTATAATACCTATACATTGTATTTATAATAAAAGCTAAATTCAAAAGATAAAAAAGTTCTACATTTAAGAAAGTTTATTTCTGTTTTGTCCCGTCAAGTGTTTAACTAAAATCTTTCCTGAAGTAAATGTTTTTTTCCGTCTAATTTATTGAAATATCTGTCCTGTTTTAATTGATTTATTGTAATACTAATATAATGCCTTGGAATCTCCTGTCCTGTCTAGTTAGATCAAATATGCAATATATTTCCTGTCCTGTCTAGTTAGATCAAATATGCAATATATTTCCTGTCCTGTCTAGTTAGATCATATGCCATATATTTCCTGTCCTGTCTAGTTAGATCAAATACGCAATATATTTCCTGTCCTGTCTAGTTAGATCAAATATGCAATATATTTCCTGTTCTGTCTAGTTAGATCAAATATGCAATATATTTCCTGTCCTGTCTAGTTAGATCAAATATGCAATATATTTCCTGTCCTGTCTAGTTAGATCAAATATGCAATATATTTCCTGTCCTGTCTAGTTAGATCAAATATGCAATATATTTCCTGTCCTGTCTAGTTAGATCAAATATCCTAATTAATCTTTCCTGAACTTTTACTCAGGAAATATGTAAATATTTTACAAATATTTTTGATTCTCAATTCAAAACCACAATCATAACTCAACGCTCCAATGCGTCAAAACATCATCATCGGTGCGTATGTAAGGCGCATGGAATGCGTAGTTTTATTGTGATCAATTATAAAATATAAACAACCATATGACGCAGGGTAATCAGTGCATAGAGTAACAATTTTACAGACTTTTTTAGAAACAGTCAAACCACACAAAATAAAAAAGATACAATTCTAGTGTACTCTATGAAACATTGAAACCAAATACGTTAAAATAGATACAATTCTAGTGTACTCTATGAAACATTGAAACCACATACTATGAAATAGATACAATTCTAGTGTACTCTATAAAACATTGAAACCACATACTATAAAATAGATACAATTCTAGTGTACTGTATGAAACATTGAAACCACATACTGTAAAATAGATACGATTCTAGTGTACTCTAAGAAACATTGAAACCACACACTATACAATATAGATACAACCCTTATAGTATACTCTATGAAACTTTGAAACCACAGACTTTGAAAAGATACATCTCAACTGCATATGCATACAAGATATATTCATCTTATACATATACGCAAAGATGGAAATACGCATATATTATGTAGATTGGAATTATGATAAATTGCTTATATGTATCTAAGTAATATATCATAAAGAAACAAACAGTATTTTCATTTTATGGTTCACTAGCTGAAGGGCCCGGCGTTGCCCGTGGAAATAGAATTGAAAAATTATAAAAATTTGAATGTTTTAGCTTAGAACAACCCCGCGGCCACCCACGAGTATCCACAACAAATTTCAACCCATTCAGTTCTGTTGTTTGGCCAGCCATGAGCAACATATATATATGAATGTCTTATTTTATTATATAGATATATGCAAGGGTGTAATGCAAGGAAAGTTAATTGCGGTCGTGTATACTCTGCGTACATTTTGAAACCAGTTCTCTCTGGGCGGAATTTGTAAACAAGAATAGATGCATCAGTGTTCATTAGCATCCGAGGAGGTTAAAAGCATTAAATTTTGATAATTTTGATAATTCACATAATAGTTTCCTATGACCAGAATATTTCATTGATTTATTTTTATGTGAAAGATGGATCCTATTTCAGGCTTTGACATCCATCTTGTGTTTACGTTACCGCCCAGAGACAGTACACTGCAGTACAAAAGATGTGTACACTTCTGAAATAACTTTCCTTGCATTACATCCTTGGATATATGCATTTTTTCTGTTTTAAAAGTAACTATTTTCCTAGTTCATAGATTTTAAAGGGACCGCAACCGTAATTTTAAATGTCCCTCCATGCTAAGATGGCAATGCCCAGTTCACAATGGTACCCTTTAAAGCTTTGTCTGATCAAGTATGAATGGAATAATAAATCAATGTTTTTTTTTCGATTCGCAGGTTCGATGCAAGGTGATTTGTACATTTCTTGCTTACACGAAGCAATGAAGAAATTGCCAGAATTAAACACTTTCCAAGACAGGAAAACGACGATTTCTTTTAGAAATGTCATTAGATTAAGGTTCCAAGTGTACCGTTGTAAATCAGTCGCCATCTTTGAATGGATGGACACTTGAAATTATGCTTACTGTTCCTTTAAAAGGTTACAAATTCATAAAAAGCCTTAAAATTATTTGTTTATATTTGCTAGAAAGTTTAACGAGAGTGACGAGGTTAGACCTGGAAGAGTTTAACGCTAGGACAGAAAAGAGGAAAATATTCGGTGCTCTAGCCATAGCGTCAATCATTCACAACTCTGCACTGGAAATATCCAGATCGGTAAGATTAACAAATTAAAAATAAAATTTATTTTTATTTTTTAATGAACAAATAATCACAATATCGTTACAGCTGGAACTTAAAAAAAATTATTCTCTAGTAATCCTATTCCGATTAGGCTAATTTTGTCTAATATAGCATGTGGTAGGACTTACAACTTTTCGAGGCCAGCTCATTAAAGAAAATTTGTCTTCTAACTTTAATAATTAAGATGTACAACGAGGGGTTTGAAAAAAACGTAAGTACGTTGGAAAAATGTTAAAAAGTATATTTTTTTACTTTTGATGAAAGTTAACATGTGCCACGTGTTATTACATCAATGTTTACAAGGTTGAGAACTTTAAAAACGGACCAGTCGTTGACCGTTATTACCCTATGCATTAAGAAATCATTTCTTTTAAAATATGTTCACAAATATGAAGTTGAAAAAGTTTAAGCTTTCTATTCTAGCCATTTTTAATTCATGCAGAAAAAATACAAAGGTGCCCCACTCCTAATCGTGACAGGGTTAATAATTTTTCTATTTACAGAATAATAAAATAATGACTCCTTTAAACAAAATCTTACTCGATTTAAAACTTTCAAGCTTTGTTAAACAAGAAGTTAATTCTATATAACCGTTTAAAGGATAAACTAAAGCTGCTCGTCCCAATGCATATTTTCCTAAAACAACTGATATCAAAGTTTAACAAATTATTGTTGTTTACAGTAAGGAATGTCTAATTTGCTGTACAAAACAAACAAACTTGAAACTATTTTTTTTATATTAACAAGACGCATGCACCTATCTAAAGAGAATTCTTCATATTAAATATTTTCTGAAAATCTTTATTTTGCTTCTTTGATTCAATAGGAAATAGATTATTTTTTAACTTTATCAATTTTTTTTTTATGAAACAAATTATATGATACATGTATTTAATGCAGAATGCAGATAATCATTTTTCCAATCTTCTTGTTTCCTGGCTGTCCGGTTTTGCTCATTCAATTAGCTGCATACCCCCCCCCCCCCAGGATGGTTAATATGCAGTTTCGAGATGCTGATTAGGCAATTTGTAGTATTTCAATATCAGCTATTGAGTTTCTGTATTTATTCCAGTTGTTTTTGATATCGGCCATCTATGCAGGTTTATTGCTGACATATTGTTGTAATGAGAAAATAGATTAAATTTATAAAGATTCTTAAAAACTTGAAAAAATGTTTTGTTTTAGGAGTTAGAGATTCCTGTTGAAAGCTTGATTACTTTTTTCTCAGTTTACCAAGGAGAACATTTAGAGATGGAGGACGCACTGAATCTGATATACAGGTAAACTATAGTCCTGGAGCTAGACTGATATACAGGTAAACTATAGTCCTGGAGCTAGAACCTGATATACAAGTAAACTACAGACTTGGAGCTAGACCCTGATATACAGGTAAACTATAGACCTGGAGCTAGACCCTGATATACAGGTAAACTATAGACCTAGAGCTAAAACCTGATATACAGGTAAACTGTAGTCCTGGAGCTAGAACCTGATATGCAAGTAAACTATAGTCCTGGAGCTAGAACCTGATATTCAGGTAAACTGTAGTCCTGGAGCTAGAACCTGATATACAAGTAAACTATTGACCTGGAGCTAGAACCTTATATAAGGTAAACTATAGACCTGGAGCTAAAACCTGATATGCGTGTAAACTATAGACCTGGAGCTAGACCCTGATATACAGGTAAACTATAGTTCTGGAGCTAGAACCTGATATACAGGTAAACTATAGACCTGGAGCTAGAACCTGATATACAGGTAAACTATAGACCTGTAGCTAACCTGAACCTAAACCACAGTTATAAGTTTCACTCTAAACATAAATGTTATATTGGTAGACATGAACCGGATCCAGGAATGCGGCGTAAAAGTGCTCTAAGCTTCCAAGGGTTCTCTAACCTGCTGATGGATGAGGATAATGATGTAGTTGGAGGACAAGAAGAGGAAGATGATATGTCCCATCCTCTCTCACATTATTTCATCGCATCATCTCACAATACTTATCTTACAGGTAGAATTATATCTAGATTAATAAAATTCAAAATAATTTTCCATTTCTAGAAGAGTATGCCCGATTAGCGATGAAACTCTTTAAACACTTATCTAGCTCCGCAAACATGATTGGTTATACTTTCTTTCAAAATTTATTATTTCAACATAGGAGGGACTTTCGGAGTCGTGCGCTATTAGAAAAAACACAGAAATCATATTTTTTAAGGCAGAAAAACGACAATATCTTCCTAAATTTAAATTGAGGATCTTTTAAAATTTTAAGCCTGGGCTTACTTTGAACTGTCGCCAAGGAGTTTCTCTCGTTTGGCCATACCAACCCAACCCTACTTTTTGTGTAGACCTGGATGAAAAGATTTTAATCTTCATAGTTTTTTTAATCCTTCGGTTTGAAAGATGATTAAAAAATCTTAATATATTCTAGGTTTGGAATGTTTACATTCGCTTTATTTAAAATATTTCTTTAAACAATGTTTAATATTTTCAGGTCACCAGCTGAAGGGTCAGTCTTCGGTAGAGTTATACAGACAGATTCTTTTAACAGGTAAACAGAGCAATGTTTTTATGTAAGGTCAAGGATAGAGCTTTAGCCTTTCCTCATATTTCCTTATAGAGCTCGTCCTATATATATGGGCTCAAATTATTTTATCACTTTCTGAAAAAGTTGTATTTGTTCCAACCGAGGGGTAAGCTATTTTCTAAAGAGTTTAGTTTCAAAAGAGTATATCGCCATGAAAGACCTTATCGTCGTTCCTAAAGAGCTAAGTGCACGTTTGTAAAGGTCTAAGATCGATTCGGAAAAGATTATTTCGGTTCGAAATATTTCAAATGTTCTTCGCTCGGTTTGAAAAAAATTAGCTCGTTGTTAGAGGGCTTAGCACTGTTACAAAAACGAGATAATTATGTTTAAAGAGATCAATTAGGTCTTCTCTTTCCAGCTCATCTCATTCTCTTTCTCCCGAAGGAGATTTAACCTTATATACCTGTATCTAAGACTCGTCTATTATTAATTAAATTTCGGCGATTTATCAAATAACTAAATAGAAAAGGCTGGATATCTTTTTGTTTCAATATATTTTAAATACAAAGAAATTGATTACTCGCCTAAAACTTTCAGTTTTTGTATATTTTTTACCTGCATGTCGTCGACATTTGATATTGATCAAACTTCCTTGGATCAAACTGTGATTTTTGTAAGATCAAAAAAATAAAGCCTGACATATCAAAAGTTTACACCATCATGTTTCAAAGATCTAAGGATTAGAAAATGAAAGTTAGAGGCGAGTAATCAGTTTAGCTAGCTTAACTTTAGAAAGCAACATAATGGATGAAAATGTTATCTCCAATTCCTTTAATAATTTAATAAAAAACTTTTGCGTATTTTTTTCATGAGAAAGTTTGCGAATTTTTTTAACCATACAGCTGAGTGATGACGACTGTATAGGGTGTAGGTGTGTAGAGCTGGACTGCTGGGATGGTGAGGATGGGTCTCCAATTATCTTTCATGGACATACTTTAACCTCTAAGATTGCCTTTTTAGACGTTGTCAAGGAAAATACTTCCATCTTGAAAACTAAAAGTTTATCCATTAATGATTAATTAATCCATTAGAATGTTTGTTTTTCTACAATGATAACCAGAAAACTGTAGAACAGGAATAGAACATTGATGCAACAATCAATTTTATTTTATGTTGCTACAAGTTTTAATATTGACTAATTTTAATACTTATAGAGGAAATTGGACCATTTTACAGCGCAGAATTTTTGGGTCTCTAGTTCATGAATTGAGTCTAAAAGTCGTCTTCCTATTCCAGAGCGTTCTGGTTATCACTGTATTCTATAGTAAACAAGCGAAATTAAAGCTGCCCTTGTCTTATAACGTTTTATAAATTTCAAAAGTTTTGAGTAGAAAAACCTTTCATAAAATTTTGAGCACTTGTTTCGAGAACATTTTAAAAACTTGTTTTTTAAACTTTGTTATTAAATAATAATATACAATTGAAACCATTTAATAAGATTTTTTTCATAACAATTCTTTTATTTTCCTCTAAAGTAAAATGTTTCCCTCGTACTCACAGGTTCAATCTACAACTAATCCGTCACTTTGTTAAAACAATAAAAAACAAGTTTCTTTTTCAAAATTGTTAAAAACAAAAATATATTTTGCTCGAGTAACCTTCTTTTTGTCGTCATAGTTTTAGGATTAAACACGTTCTTACTAAAAAATAGCTGGAGAGGGGGGGGGGGGGGGGGGGGGGGGGGGTGCAGCGGGTGCTGACATTTTACTCCTCCGAAAATGATTTTAATTTTTTTCCTAAAATGCAATTCAAAATTTCGCTCAAACCATAAAAACAACTGCTATGATCATATTCTCCGCAAATAAAATAATAAATTAAATATTTGAATTTATTTTCTTTTTAAAAAATCTAAAAAATTTAAAGAATAATTTATTTTTAAGATTATCAATTAGCCAACTTTTACCAAAAAATTTGAAACTACGTAAAAGTTTAACTAAATAGAACAAAGTGTTTTTGGAAATTCAACAAATGAAACATTAAAAGTAGGATAAACCTATTATTGAGGTATTATCGAAGTATTTGAACCAACGAGGTTATAAAGTATATAGAGTGAGGATGTACGCTAATCCTTCACTAATTGTACAGGCGTGTACTCCACTTTCAATCTGAATATTACAACGTATACGTCCGGGGGATTTCTGAAAATAATTATTTTCACTTAAACAGAAATTGGTTTACAATAAAGAAAACTTAATGGGAATATATACATTTAATTCAATCGATCCATTTCCGTTTATAGAGGCATGTACGATACACAACGGCACCTAAAAAAACTTTCTCTGGAAAGTGACTTGCTGAGTTTATGAATTTGAAACAATGGAGGAAATGGTCAGAATTAAACACTTTGTTTACAAACGAGTAAACTAAGCATAATTTAAGATACAAAACCTCCCCAAACTATCAACTATCATCCCCCCTGATTTGAACTAATTTAAGTTAAACGTTATCAAAATTTTCTCCTGCAATGGGGTGTTGTTATTTGTCATTGGCATTAAGCAAATTGTTTCAGAAATGTAAATAACTTTCTTAACTCAAAAACTTTTAAATCGCCTGAAAGCTCAAATCAGTAGTTAAACCAGTCGGAACAAGTTTAACTTAATCTTTTTGTTAAAAAAGTCCAGTTCAGTTTACAATGGAAGAGTTTAATCAGGTGATAGAAAAATCTGCATTCATTACTTCTCCATATCCTCTCATCCTTTCCATAGAGAACCACTGTTCTATCCAACAACAGAAGAAAATGGCAACAATTTTTAAGGTAAGATTTGGCAAGAAAAAAATATAATCGTAATTGATATTTTCATTAACACAACGTGACTGAGGACATAAATTCAAGTGACCCTCCATTCATAAGGTAGCATTCCCTGTTCAAATTTATCTGAAGAACAATAAGAAAGATTTTTTGTGTTTCTAAAAGTTGTGAAATTCTTACATTTTTCTTCTTTATCTCTGCTGTATAAATCCGCAAATCTCTTTTATATAGAACCCATAGAAATAAGGATATTTTCATAATTTGTTACTCAGTCTAAGCCAACTCCATGAACACTATCACGATTGATGGAAGGGGGGGGGTGTTTTTTACCCCCCCCCCCATTAAAGTTTTAAACAGATAACTCTAAAACTGTTTGAGATAAAATCATTAAACTTCATGACTTTTCCTACTTTTTTCCTAAACAATGTTTTTTTGATGCAAAGGGCAATAATTTCTAACAGGGTCAAAATTTGGGATCGTGTAAATTAGGCAAAATTATTTATTCAAAACATTTGACGTACTTACATTATGCTAAAAGTCGAAATGTAGTCCCTGAGAGGAAATTTATGATAAAACTGAAGCAAAAATGAAACAAAATGACCGATAGCAGTTTAATATTAAAACCAAGAACATGTGGTGTGTCAGCTTCAAACAAAAAAAAACTGTTTTCGTGAAACTGTTTTGTCAAATCTATCAAACTCTTTTAGACCGTTCTAACACAATGATAGATTTCTTTAACAGAATATGTCTAGGAGGTGCTAAGGGATAAACTGTTAACTTATCCCTTCATGGAGAACGAGATGATCCTCCCCAGCCCCAGCCAGCTTAAATTATAATACATATATATTCTAGAATGGTCCTCCAGGCCCCCAACCGTCCTCGTTTGATCATGACGAAGAAGAAGACGAGTTTGACAGTGATTTTGACGAGGAGATGATTATTGACGAGGACGATGAGGATGGAGGGGACGAGGATGGACTCCAAGATATCCCAATGCCCCTGGAGCTTCTGAATTTGCGGAGGAGGAGAGGGGTTCAGGATGATTTTCAGCTTGAAACCCAACTCCATCATACAAAACTATCTTCAAGGTATTTCATGATTTTTAATCCATTAATGTTCTCAAAAAGAAACTTAAATTTTATAATCCCTATATCTTAACCCTAACCAGATTGGGCTATTTTTGTCTAATATAGAGTGGGGGGGGGGTTTCCACCCCCCATCTTATTTTGCCCTTGGAGTTGAGAGGGGAACGTGTGTCCTAGTCTAACTTTTGACCGTCCTTCAACCTACGCTGTGCATCAAAAAAAAATATTTTATAATTTTATCAAAATATGTTTACAACTATTACGTTGAAAAAGTAAAGAAGTTTTTGCGTTCTAATGTTAGCCGTTCTTAAGATTTTTAGAACAAACCACAGAAACCCCCCCCCCCCCCGTCGTAAAGTGTTAATGGGATTATAAATCAGAGTTTGTTACAACTTACAAGAACACTGCAATTCCTATCTTTTTACATTGTGCTACTGCTAACTAAAGAAAGTGATAACTCGTCTAAAAATATAATTTTATTTTCTGCATATGGATGCATATGGATGCAGCATGGATGCAGCATATAATTGAGATTTTAATCGCTTACTATATCACTACAGACAGTACGAGAAAACTTTTGAATTAATGTCGTCTTCGTTTTGTAACTTTTATTTTATACAGCTAAACGTGCAGGGCACATATCTAGAAATAGAAAACAGTTCATGGGAGAAACTCATGAAATTTTTACTTGTTCTGGTTCTCATCTGGTTCTCACCGCAAGGAATATACAAAGTTAAATATTGAAGATTTTGTGACACTTTTTCTTATCCAAAGGCAAAAGATTTTGTGTAAAAGAACATATTTAAAAACAGTTTTAAAAGCAAAACATCTGCAAAGCAAAAAATAAAAATACAATTTTTTTCTAAAAAAGGAAAGACTCCGGATGGAATCTACAAGCTAAATAAGTTGTAATGACCCCTTGTCTAGGGTTCGTGCCAGCACAGTGGACTCCCCCCTGCTGTATCACAGGAAGATGGTTGCCAATGTGAGGATGAAGAAGAAGGTTCAGGTGGCTCAGGAGCTCTCAGATCTAGTGGTGTACTGTCAGTCAAGGAAATTCAAGGATTTTAAAGAAAGTGATAGGTAAACAAACTTGACAAATTATTTCCTTATAGAGTGATTTTATCCCTTATTAGCTTAATCCAATTGAGTTTAAAATATCAAGTATTTAAACAAATATATTATAGCATACTTATATGTATTTGTTGTGAACCTTTATAAAAAATAGTCTGTAATGATTCTTTAATAAGCGCTTTAAACAACAAAGATATTCTCAATTTAAATTTTTTTAAATATTTTTGAATTCTTTTAATTTCCTAAATTGTCATCGAATGATAAATGCGCAAATCAATTTTGTTTTAATTGAGAAACAACAGTTGAAAATACATATTTTTCTTTGTATAGACAAATAAGGAAATATCATTCATCCTTGATCAGTCAAAGGTTTAAAGGTTACTGTTGTAATCGGTTATGCCACTCTGCAAACGAAGATCAAGTCACTTGAAATTTTTCTCTTAAAAAAAATGGCTACCGAAAAAAAATTATTCCTTTTTCTTGTTTCAGGTCTGATTCCCCGATACTTCCTCAACGAATAAAAAGTCTAGAAAACTCTCCCTCTCAACATGAACGGGACTCAGGGTCTTCCACAACCATTTACAACTGTTCAAGCATTCATGAGAACAGAGCTAAGTCTGTAGGACGAAAGTCTCCTCTCCGAATGCTTGAGCACACTGAGAGGTTCCTTGTCCGGTGCTATCCTGCCGGGATGCGGATAGATTCCTCAAACTTTAACCCTATCACAATGTGGTCAGTTGGAATCCAGATGGTTGCACTGAACTATCAGACCAGAGATTTCAACATGGTGCTAAACACAACATTTTTCTCACAGAACAAGCGGAGTGGGTATGTTTTGAAACCCAGTGTAATGTGGAATCCTGATCATATTCTTTACAAACGTTTTACGCCATTCTCTAAGGAGTTAATTGGTCTGCACTCAACTACCATAGAACTTACAATTATAAGTGGACAATATGTATGCGAGCATGACTATTCTGCGAGCCCTATAGTCGAAGTTGAGGTTCTTGGTATACCTAAAGACTGTTACAAGTACAAAACTAAAATGAGCCAGAGAAATGCACTCAATCCAATTTGGGAAGATACATTCGAGATTGAAGTCCGTTTGGCAGAGCTGGCGTTTCTCCGTTTTACCGTTGTGGATATAGCAACTAGTGTTAGTACCGCCCAAAGGATAATACCTCTTAAGCAGCTAAGACAGGGCTATAGAAATGTCCCCCTATGGGATATGAAAGGGAAGCCTCTTCCTCTTTCTTCACTCTTCATTCTCTCTGTCTTTCATCCTGATTCTGTTCTGAGGGAAGACTCTCCAAGTGCCGAATCTCTTCAACGAAAGCGTATGTCCTTTCTTCTGATCCATGATGTGGGGGAGCAGGATCCCTATGCTATTCTGAAAGTTACCAGTGAATCCACAGCTCAGGATGTTATTAAGATGGCTCTTGAGAAGGTTGGAAAAACAAGCAAGGTCAATGAGTTTGTTTTGTTGGAGGAGGTTGGAAAGGACAATGATAATCATCAGCGTCTTGTTGGTATGGAGGAAATACCACTCTCTGTTCGATCTCAATGGCAAGCAGAAGGAAAGTTTGTGCTTAAAAGAGTAGGTGAGGATCCCAGTTGGAGAGCTAGACTTGGAACCAATATGATTCACCCAAGGGATCGAAGGATTTCTACAATGTTCCCCAAGTCTGAGTTTAAACTTGAGGATGTAGAAGAAGAGCCAGATATGTTCCTTGTCTGCATATTCAACGTAAGCCCTGGTGTAGCTCATACAATACTTAGAGTCAGTAAATCCAACACTGCAACCCAGGTCATTGTTCAAGCTCTCATGAAGTCGAGGAGTATCGAGGATCCAAGATCTTATGTCCTAGTAGAAGAAACTGAAATCCCTGACGGGAAAAAGAAGGTAGGAAAGAAGTTGGTTCAGCGCGTTCTGGCAGACGATGAGAATGTGTACCTGGTTCAGAGTAGCTGGAAGGGGGTTGGAAAACTAACGCTTCTGGAACGGGATAAGAACGTTCTTCGAAACCGCGGCCTTGAAACTCATCAAAACATTAGAGAAACCCAGAGTGAACCTTTATTCCGAGGATCTCCACGTCTCCGAAGACCCAACAACTTAGTTGGAAGAGTAAGAAAGTTCTCCAGAAGCCTGTATGGTCATGAAGGAATGGATGCTCATGAAACCGTCTCGGACAATGATCTCTCTGATGATGATGATGATTCTAATGGAAGGAAATCTTCTATTGCTAATTTTCGCAAGCTAAAAATCTGGTAGATGTTTGATGTTTAATGTGATAATATTTAACTCAAGTGCTTATATTGACTGTTGATCCTAAAATTAGGTTTCAGCAATTATAACAGACTGTGGAAAAAATATTCATACTAGTCAATTTTAACTGTGATATCATTGTAAACTTTATCCATCATATAAATACATATAAATGGGCATAATTGTAAATTAGTGTTATAAATATTCTAACTTATTTCTAAAAACTTATATTTGTTTATTTTTAAGTAAGTATGCATTTTGTTTACAAGAAATGAATTTAGTCTTTGTCACAAACACTGATTTTCTAATCCCTAAAACTTTGCAACCAAACGTTATAGACTTTATCTATTTCAAAATATATAAAATAGGCTAAGTTTGAAGTTTGATGTTTGAAGTTTACACCAATAGTTTGCTAAGAAATATATATTAGAAAATTTGAGTTTGTGGCAAAAACTCAGTTTCTTTCTTTTTAAAGAGGTAATTATCCGTTCCTTCTAAATTAAAAAAAAAATCTTTAAACTCTTTTCCATTTTAATTTAACATTATTTACATCATATTATAAAAATATGAATCACCAATCATAGGCAAAAAAAGAAAAAATAGTTAATTTCCAATTATGTTTTATATTTAAAACGCAAAATCTTAGCTCAAGAACAATAAAAAATTTCTACATGAAAATTCAAAACCTGACATTTTTAATTAATAACTATATATTCTAAATGACTGTTTAAAAGGAAATAATAATTGTATACTAACTGTACAATAGCTCTCTTTCTGACTCTCCTCCAAAAACAGGTTAGAACTATTTTCTTTCAATTCAACAACAAAAAGAAAAAATAATTAAAATTTAGATAAAAATTTTATGTGTTATAAGTGATTTACGGAATCCAGCTGTTTTGCTTTTTAAATGAATCAGTATAAAAGAGGATACCTTACTAATAGCAAAACAAAGCTGTTTTTAATCATTAAAAGCTAAAGACGAAAATACGAAGTGCACAAACTTACCTCTTCTTCTCCTCCTCCCATCACAATACTATTTTACCGCCACTTCTCCTCCTCCCATCACAATACTCCCTTTCCTCCACTTCTCCTCTTCACATCACAATACTGTTTTACCTCCACTTCTCCCCCTCCAATCACAATACTCCCTTACCTCCACTTCTCCCCCTCCCATCACAATACTCACTTACCTCTTCTTCTCCTCCTCCCATCACAATACTATTTTACCGCCACTTCTCCTCCTCCCATCACAATACTCCCTTTCCTCCACTTCTCCCCCTCCCATCACAATACTCCCTTACCTCCACTTCTCCCTCTCCCATCACAATACTATCTTACCTCCACTTCTCCCCCTCCCATCACAATACTCACTTACCTCCACTTCTCCCCCTCCCATCACAATACTCACTTACCTCAACTTCCCCTCCTCCCATCACAATACTATCTTAACTCCACTTCTCCTCCTCCCATCACAATACTATCTTACCTCCACTACTCCCCCCCATCACAAAACTCCCTTACCTCCACTTCTCCTCCTCCCATCACAATACTATCTTACCTCCACTTCTCCTCCTCCCATCACAATACTCCCGTACCACCACTTCTCCCCCTCCCATCACAATACTCCCTTACCTCCACTTCTCCCTCTCCCATCTCACCATACTCCCTTACCTCTCAAATCCTGGTAGATTACTTAATTTCAAATCCTGGTAGATTACTTAATTTCAAATCCTGATAGATTACTTCATTTCAAATCCTGATAGATTACTTAATTTCAAATTCGAGTAGATCACTTAATTTCAAATTCTAGTAGATCACTTAATTTCAAATCTTGGTATTTAATTAATTTCAAATCTTGGTAAATTAATTAATTTCAAATCTTGGTATATTAATTAATTTTAAATCCTGGTAGATTACTTAATTTCAAATCTTGGTAGATTACTTAATTTCAAATCCTGGTAGATTACTTAATTTCAAATTCGAGTAGATCACTTAATTTCAAATCCTGATAGATTACCTAATTCCAAATCCCGGTAGATTACTTAATTTCAAATCCTGGTAGATTACTTAATTTCAAATCCTGGTAGATTACTTAATTTCAAATCCTAGTAGATTACTTAATTTCAAATCCTGGTAGATTACTTAAAGGGACTGTTAGGTAATTTCATATGACTCTCTATGAAAATATGGCGATGCCCAATTCATAACGATACAATTAAAAGCTTTATCTGATCAAGCATGAATTAGATATCAATGTTAATGATTTTGAAATATTTTATTTTCAATTGTGGTTTCTCTCAAATATGATCGTCATTTCTTCTGCAGGAAGACCTCCTATGTTATCAGAATGAAAGATATTAAAAAATGCCAATAACTTCCAAATTATTGATCAGATAAATGTTTTTATGGTGCCCGCTTTGCATAGAGGGTCACTAGAAATTACGCTTACAGCCCCGTTAAGTTCTAATCCTGCTAAATTACTTTATTTCAAATCTTAGTAAATTACTTTATTTCAATTTTTAGCAACTAAATTAATTTAATCAATCATGGGAAGAATCTCAATTTGAAAACTTCGAAAAAGTGATTTGTCAGTAAATATATTTGAAGCGCTACGGTAAATTAGGTCCCATGGACGCCATGGTTAAAAGTGAGTTTTTTCTTTCAAGCCCCTTTTCACCAGTTAAATAATTATTTTTCCACTAGTTAATACTTTTTGTTGGTTTCTTTTTACTTAAATATCTAATTAAATAAAGTCTTACTTTATTTTCGACGAAGTTTGCATTAAAAATCAAATATGATAATTTTTAAACAGACTAGATGTACTTTGTTCTGGTTAGTTTTACGTGGTGCGGAGCGTAGTAAATTTCTTTATTGTTAATGTATGTCTAACTGTGGTGCACTATAGTTTGAAACGTGTATTCTGAAAATATACAGGAGACGGAATATAATTGGGAAAACAGGGAGGATCAATCATCTAGCTCTCGTTCTTTAATATCCGTTCTTATACACAACCTAGATCTAGAACAGGACGGAGCAATCATATCCAGTCCTAGTTCTCCTTCTTTAATATACAATCTTATACACAACCTAGATCTAGAACAGGACGGAGCAATCATATCCAGTTCTAGTTCTCCTTCTTTCATAACCGTTCTTATACATAACCTAGATCTAGAACAGGACGGAGAAATCATATCCAGTTCTAGTTCTCCTTCTTTCATAACCGTTCTTATACATAACCTAGATCTAGAACAGGACGGAGCAATCATATCCAGTTCTAGTTCTCCTTCTTCAATATACAATCTTATACACAACCTAGATCTAGAACTGGACGGAGGAATCATATCCAGTTCTAGTTTTCTTAACCTAACCTAACCCTAAATAACAAAAAAGTAAATAATAATAAATTTGCTGAAAAGTAAATGGTCATGTACAAAATTGATAGGAGAGGGGAGGGGGGGAGGGGGGGTCCAAAAATTGTTCACTAGGACAGACCCTCGAACGATATTAACAAAGGCTATTTGTGTTAGTTAAAGATTTTAAAAAAATTGGAGTTTGCCGTTCGTTAACGGATTCTGCCGTTACCTCCGTGTCGTTAACGGAACTTTGCCCAGCCCTAACTTCCTTTCTCTCTCTCTCAAGTTATATTACTATTTACTACTCTATGGACCGAGAGAGAGCTAAGGAATAATAATTTACTTATTAGCATGCATATGGGCTTTAATAAGCCTAATTAGACTTTTCTGGGACTGCATAGAATAGTTATTTGCACAAATATACAATTTCAATTTAATTTATACATCCGTACTTTGAGTTTGAAGGGACTGAAGGCGTAATTCCAAGAGACTTTCCATTTGGAGAATAGTCAGACTGATATATTACGGTCATTACGGTATTTTACATTCTCAAAAATGAGTTTATAGATATCCATGATTTTTATCATATTTGGAAATTGATTATTTTAGATCGTGGTGTTTCTCTGTAAATGACGTCTATTTTATGCGTCTGAAATAACAACACAAAAGGCAGATTGTTATACTTTTTAGAGTAAATTAACCCCCGTAAACATTTTTTAGAATCCCACGGAACCCCATGTATTAAGTTCCGAACTCCATTTATTTAGTTCCGAACCCCATTTATTAAGTTCCGAACCCCATGTATTAAGTTCCGAACCCCATTTAATAAGTTCCGAACCTCATTTATTAAGTTCTGAACCCCATTTGTTAAGTTCCGAACCCTATTTATAAAGTTTCGAACCTAATATATTATGTTCCGAACATAATATATAAAGTTCCGAACCCCATATGTTATGTTCCGAACCCCATGTATTAAGTTCCGAACCTTATTTATTATGTTCCGAACATTATATATTAAGTTCCGAACCCAATTTATTAAGTTCCGAACCCCACTCTGACAATAAATCCTAAAACTGACATAATAATCGGCATTGGAGGTAATCCTTCAGTATCCCGGGGTTAACATAAGTAAAAAATCCAAATTTTTTTCTTCAAAAATACATTTTTTTCAAAGTTCGATTTTTAAGAATTCCACGGGCAACGCCGGGCACTTCAGCTAATATATACATGAGCGGAGAGCGTCATATCATGTTTATAGATAAAAGATATCTACCATTAAGGTTGATAAATCAAGATCGTTAACAAAGTTTTAAACGTCCCAGCCCATAGTTCTTCAGATAAATACATCTGCATATTGTTTTTAATATTTTGATTTTGTAAAATAAACATATTCTTACCATGAAAATAGGGGAGGAGGGGGGGGGGGGGTTGTTAGCGATAGAACAAAGGAGGGGTGAGTGTTTCTGAAAATTTATAAAACACAATGGTTTATTTTTTATACTATTGTGAGGTATCTTAGGAGTATTATAGTTCTGAAATGTCATCGATTTAAACAATTAATTTTTAATCATATTTGGTTTTCATAATTGTTCACGTCATTTTTCATTATACTCTCTAAATATAAAAAGAATATCATTATTCTATTCTTGGAAAAAAATATTTAAAAACTTTACTCTGAGCGTGCAGGTTTTCTAATATTCTAATAAACATACCTGTCTGTACTTTCCTCATAATTTTAGAATAAAACTACATTTAAAAAGGGTCCGATTCTCAATCCTTAAACCCTTAATCTGATCAATAATTTGGAAAATCATTTTGATAAT